GGATAATCGTAATAGAATTGTAGGGCTGACTAGGATATCATATAATGGACCGCAGCAATCCATAGTCTTTTTACTTGTTACAGTTTTGTTTTTATATATCAAATCAAAAAAAAAGAAAAATCGATTATTTGGTCGACATATTCGGAGAATATAGGTTGCATGGCAGGTGGCTAAGTAAAGGCTATAGCTAAGCAAATTGCAGTTAAGCAACAAATTTCCTAAAGAGAGCTGCTTAATAGCTTAATTGCGCAAGAGCGTGAAGATAAATTCGATTTTAACTAGCAAAGACACCTACCATTTCCAATACGAAAATTCTGACAACGACTTAACAAAGCTCTGTTAAATAATTACAGTTAAGATATAGTTGGATTGGAAAGCCTACTCCTCCCATATTAATAAAAGGAAAATATTTTTATGGACATTCGATGAATCTATATAAAAGTACCTTCCAAACAAACTAAACAAGTTCAAATTCTGCTTATGGAAGCTATTTCTGACGATGTTTGAAATTTGATATGTTAGCGAGAAATGGCTGTGGAAGAACATCCAAATTTGAGACTCTAGTGCGGCCAAACTAGAAAATGTCACCTATACTGGAGGTTTCTTATTGAAAATGGTAGTCGTCTTTGCTAGTTAAATTCGAATTTATCTTCACGCTCTTGAATTGTGCTTTTGCCCCGGAACTTTCAAGTTAAGCATCTATAAGAAGTCCAAAAACGGCCAATGTTCGTACACAACCTGCGCTCTAATAAGTAAGAGGTGAAGAGAATTGATGATGGTCGATCGATTTTCGAAGATGATGGCACCGAATTGAAGGATTTATTGGACTGTGTGCTAACCGTCCGGAGGAGAGATTTGTTCTACTATGAATCACATATCAGCCCTCGACACGGAAAAATCGCGCTTATTATCGTAGCGATGTTTAAAGAGATTACAGACGCTGTTTTCTGGAATAAAGACGAGATCGTGTTTAAGGACTTGTCGAAAACGCAACTGACTCGAATACAATTTTAAACCAACGACGCTTTCATCAATTTTTGTATAAAAAAATTCGATAGAATAAAACCTTTAAACTCACGCGTGCAGGCATTTGCCATTCAAATTGTTTACAAATCTCACAAAAGTGTTACAGAACTAAAAGACTAATCGTTGCACGAAATTTTTAAAGCATTGTTAAGTGTTTAAATTTCAAATATTAAATGGCAATGCAATCCGCTTTAACGAAGGATAGTTTCCATTGCTTGCTACTTGCCATTTTGGTGATTGCCTACGATTTAAAAAAAATGAAACTATATATATGTAAAACTATGCAAAACTATTTAACTAAAGAAATAATTGTTAAGTTCTTTCCTAAGGAACTTCGACGTGTAATCGAAGTTGGCCGTTTAAATAGTACGATTAACTTAACTACTTTAACGTAATCACTAAGGGTTTGTTAGCATTAGACTTTAAGGCACTCTTGAGGCTTCTTTCTTATGTTTTAGTTATAAAATAGTTATATTCGCAAGAAATTGAAAAGCAGTAAGAAAACAATATTCGTCTTAGTCTGGAACTGATGTGCTGCTACGATGCATACAGTAAAACAACCATTTCACTATTAACTGTGCTCTTGTGTTGTAGAAATTGAAAAGAATTTTAATATTTCTAAGCACATGGTAAATGGTTACGTCAACTTTACGTAGACTTCAAGTCGATAAATATTAAAAAAGAAATCGCCAATATTTTCTCCTGAAGCTGTTTTAAGCCGTCTTTGTCATATTATCCTCTTTCGAAATCGGTTTCTTCAATTTAGGCGGCAATACCTTCTTAAATAGACTTTCGCAACATTCGCAAGAATATTTCGGCTAATTCGGCTTAATCTCCACGCTAAGAATCTATAACACCTATGCTCAATACAATCCTTGTAGGGAACCACTAATATCTATATATATATATATATATATAAATACGTAGATGGACAGAATGACAGCAAGTGAAAATATTGTAAAAAGGCAAGCAGGACAATGAAATAGCTTACAACACCGCTTTGCTTTCAATAATTCAAAATTATGAACTGAATCGAAAATACATTCATTTGTCGAAGCGTTTGCAACACCTAGAAAGAAGCCGCTTCAGAAACAGAGAGAGAAACTCTCTGCAGTCTTGATCAGTGTTAAATTCTGAAACGTCGTAGGTATGCTCATCAGCCTACCACGGTTTACAAATATAAAGTTTATAAGTCATGATTAAGAAAAATCGGAAAACATAGATGTTATCATTTCATGCGGCACATCTTCAATTTTCAATAGCAAAGTGCGTCCAAAATTTTTCGAATGCTTCTGCTAAATTTAAAATCAATAAACTCATTCTTGCACAAACAGTACACAGGCGGGTAGAAGGACTGTCGGACACGCTTAAGTCGACCCGAAATTTGTTCTTGATCAGGAATATATATACATTGCTTTGGGGAGTCTCGGAAGCTTCCTTGGGAACGTTTGTGAAAACTTTGTGTGAAAAAATGAGTATATCCCCCTCCATCCTTCAGTGGTGGACAATTCAAATGAAAATAAAAGAGCTTCCTTTTTTAGCAATCCTAAATGCTCTAGAAATTTTAGAGAATTCTTCAAAGCTGCAGTTTTTCCCTTTCCTTTCCTGTCTATAGCTCGCCAACTTTCTCTCCTTTTCTCTCTGACGATTTCTCTCTCTCTCCCTTTGTCTTTCCGTACATAGTCCTCTCTCTTTCCCTTTATCTCTCTTCTATTCGGATACGAGAACTCTGTTTATAAAGGCATTTTAGGCGTTAAGGAATTAATTATGGAATTTTTTCTCAAAACTTTTAAAATATTCAAAAAAAAAATGTTATCAGCAATTTGCGAGTTTTTTAATCTATTGCCAAAGGATTATTTGTGACAAGATATTTTTTTATAATTGCCTTAACTTTAAAACAAGTCGAACTCTAATTAATATTTTTTTTTGTTTTTCGCAAACAACAAAACACAAGAATAGTATATAAATAAAATTTGCTTTGCGCTACGAAGCGGTTAATATCTTACAAAGACTTTGCTGTCTATTGCGCGGCTCCCTCGAGACAATTCATTTTGAGACGCTTGCCATAAGTATTTATAGCGAATTTCAGATTTACATCTACTTTACGTCCAAGTGGCAAAGCATTACGATTGACAATTCAAAGGTCGTGGTTTCAAACCTCAAATCCGGTAAAATTTATCAATAAAGCCGATAGATGCTAGCTTTGAATTTATTTCTCCGGCTAAATTAATAATAATAACAATAATCATAATAATGCTGAAGTTATTTTTATATTTGCCTGCAATCATATATCGGATTAATTAAAGCAGTTATTTATCTGGGCGATTTTTTTCAAGTAGATTTTATGGATAGGTCCACATTGTGTTTCAAACTTAATCTCTGGCCGTCCATAGCTTACATTTACATTGTCTCTCCGAACTCGAAACTTCGCCTGTTGAAAAGCTTTTAATGGTAAAAAACAGATAGACAGACAGACAAAAGCTTGTTATTAGCATTTTTACAATTTATTTAGATCAAAGAAATAAATTGCAGGACGAACGTTAGGATGAGTACTAGCAACTAAGCCTATCGGCTCTTATTTTCTGCTTTTTTAAGGTACTTTAGATGGCCAGTTTAACAGCTTTAACAAAGTTAAATATTTTGTTGATATTAAGGTCGCCAGGTATTTTCAAGATGTCTATTGGGTTAGATGGTCCGAAAACTAATCTTTGAATATTAGAAAGATTTTGGCAACATTTTTGCATTTCATGCAAATGTTTTGTTCTTTATCTTCTCGACGTTGGTTGGATATAGCGACGAAACGATCGACCTGCGAGTAGTGTAGATGGCATTACTGTCGATCTTCTTCGTCAGCTTTCTCTTTAATTGTTCTTCTGGTATACTTTCGAAGGCCAAACATTTCCATTAGCATATTGACTCGATGTATTTTATAGAAATTTTCTGAGGCACACTTTTAAGCCGTTACGAAGGCAATGACAGAACTAGTATAAGTAATGAGTGGGAGAGATGGGCATGAATATCTAAAAAGGTAAAAAGCAGCCATTAAACAATAAATAAATTGGCGGCAACGACTGTACCGAATAAGTGCAAAACAAGTTAAGTTTTTTTGTTCATTATGGATGAACTCTAATACGAGTGTATACTCGTATACTAACCCGCCTCTGCCATTATCATACAATAGATATACAAATATATATAGACACACATTTAACAAATTTGTACTCTCTTCTAATAAGGAATTTTGGCACACGTACCTGTTTTGATTTTTTAATATTTTTTTATTTCTATTTTTTATTTTCTAATGTTTTTCATATATGTTTATGTAGTTAGAAATTGAAGAATTTGAAAAATTTTGTTTTTGTTAAATATTTATGCGTCTCTAACTAACCTTAAATGTAAGTATAAAATTACAAAATGCAATAATGAACGAATAAGCAAAAAAAGTAAGAAAAAAACGGGAAAAATAAAAAAACAGAATTTTCAAATGCATTGAGCCGGGAGATAACAAGTTTTGAAATACATTTAATTTCATTTTTTTATTCTTTTTTTTTTTTGATTTATTTATTTATTTTTTTTTTTGCAACATGGAAACCAAAAAATGTTTAAAAAATAAATATAAAATTTAAGCTGATTACTCTTAGTAACAAAAAAACAAGTTCAAAGGCGGTCTCTTTGTTTTGTTTTTGTAATGTTTTAACGTTCGTACACATTAAAGTAAGTGAATTGCCTTCGCAGCAGCATAAACAAACAGCAAACAAGGCAAGATATTAAATTATGGTGGTCGGTTATATGATATAATTACAAAGTTAGAATTTCTTCACGCATAAAAGGCATTTAACTTTTTTAAGTGTAAACTATGTAATTGAAATATTTTCTATGTAATTTTAAGGGCTTTAAATAGATAAACAACGCAAGTATAACTTCTTTGAAACTAATGTCTTTTCTTTTCTTGTATTTATTTTTGTTATTTTTAGTGTTCCGTTCACGAGTACAATATGGCTGATCTTGAATTAGATCAAGTGACTAAAGTAATCGGTTATCATCCCCGATTTCTGGATCATTTTCTACGTACACAAAATTTTATTATGAAAGGCGATGGTCCACTGCCTTACGACTATCGTTATTATTTGGCCATAATTGTAAGTATAATGAATTTTTTTTTGCAAATTTCTGGAAAAATATTACAAGCTGTGCAAAAGAAGGAGTGTATTTTCATTTTTAATTACAAAATTGCCATAGTTTCGTTGCCTATTTTTAGCTAATCATCAAAAGCAGTTTGTGTTGCCTGCTTTCGCGCATAAGATAGAAAAGTTGCCTATTTTAGTGCATCACTGCTAAAGTAAAGTTGTGATCGTCGTTGATTGTGATTATTGACATTTTCACACTTTGGGTGCAAAAGGTGTACTTAGTTTGTGCGGATGTAAGCAACACCCGCAAAGACTTGAGTTACACGCATCTTTTCTTGTATCGGTCAATTCAGAATAACTTTCTGAATCGATTTTAGCTTGTCTGTCCGTCTTGTTTTCTTGTGTTCAACTGATCGCATCTTTCGTAATATTTTGGTGAAATTTGGTATACTAACCCTTTTTGATCCGAAGCGAAAGCTATTGAAAATGATTCGTATCAGACCATTTTTTCGATTACTTCCTTTATAATATCTTACCATAGAAAACCATTATATCAATCACTGTAATAATGATGTCAGGTATTTAGTGTTATGTCCTTTTACTTTTGGACTCAAACAAGCTTCTAAAAAATGGATAAATGTTGATTCGTTTAAAAAAACTGCATACTTCTGCCTTTTTCGCAAGGATACTCTATGTTCATTCGCTTCGTTTACAACGATGGCGTGACGTTTGTTTCTAGTTCTTTGGACGTGTTAGTTAGAGCGCACCGTTTAATCGTGGAAGGGAAGACACTTTAACTAATTACTCAAATTCTTGTCAGGGAAAATTATTACGCGTTAGTGCCTATCGATGTTCGATATAATCGTAGATACGCTTACAACAGTTGACTGCTTTTGAAAAAATTCTTTTCGTTGCCTTCATGCTCAACGCCAGTGAAAAAGGTATTGCAGCCAAGCACAAGTGTGTTAGTGATGAACCAATTGGTTATACGTTATTCTCACGCAGCGAAATTTTGTTTTTAAGATACTTTGCTTGCGTAAACGTTCATAAGCAAAGTGCCCTAGAGAGAAAGTGTACATAGAAAATACTGGAAAAGGACCGACTTCAAATCGACTTGGATGAAGGAAACTTCTCTAATTAAATACGCACTGCATATATATTTAAAAGCTTTCCTACATTTTCTTCTTTTTTTTTTTTTGTTTGGTCGTAAAATATAAAACATTTTTATTAGCTAAAATATTAAATATATTTCTAATATGAAGCGGAAAGATAAGCAATAAAATCTACAAAAAAAAAAAAAAAAAGAAAAGACGGACAAAATAGCGGCTATTTTTAGGTATCAATATAAATGATTCATTTTCCGGTTTTTAAATCGTATGTGAATATTTTATAAATTTGTTTTTAAGAAAACTATAAATTGTTTATTACGAAATATTTTATGAATTTTAAAAAATTTGCTTCGTGCTATTGCTGTTAAAGTTAAAAAACCAGAATGTGAAGCAAATAAATGCTTGCGAAAATAGCTTCAGATGAAAAAAAAAAGAAGTAAATCAATCTATGGTAGCAAAGTGCCCATATCCAGTAGTGTAAAGACAGCATACAGCCGGTAGGGAAGTTGTACAATTTTGTAAAACATTGCAACAAAACGACATTATGATTTAATTGTTCATGCCTTTGTACAATGAATTGCAAGACTGGAAGATTGAACGAAAACGCAGCTCAAACTGCCGAAGAACTTGTGAACAGCTTACCAGTTAATGAATCAACTGTTTCTAGAAGTTTTCTTATGATGTGGAAGACCCAAAAGGGGGAAAAACGGAATGCTTTCAATATCACGGTTTCATTGCTTCCGGTTTCGCTGCTTGTAGCGTAACCCTTACCTCTTCGTCTTTCAGAGAAATATGTTTCCCAAAACATCATTGTTCTTTCATGTATTGAGGACATCCCCTGTGCGACTGGTAACCTTAAAAATAAAAAACTCATAATATATCGACTTAAAAATGCTTTTCTAATATTATTACGAATTTTACGATTCTATCCAGGAATTTTTGAGGTTAAGTTCGCACCACTGAATGGTGATTTTTAGGTTAACATAGGTTTTATTTATAATTCTTAGGAGATTTATTTACAAGAGAAGTATTTACAGGGACTTATGTTTACAATCCGTTAACCTGCTTCTATCTGAAGATTATGATTGAATTCCCTTGACTCTGCTAGCTTTGCCTTCCGCCAGTACTCTGCTTGTATATTTTTTTTGTTAATGTTGTCGCCAATAGCCGGTTGCATGAGCCTACTTTATTTTATGAAGTCGGAAGGTAAAGCACCATTGATCCGCATTTGGTTTAACATTTTCATGAATTTGTTTCTTAGAAAATCGTTTAGATGTGTGATTTTCGTAACAATATATTTGGTGAGTGTTTACGGCGCACATTTAATCTAATTTATGATACAAAGATATTTTCTGCCAATGTATGCAGCGTGCAAAAGAACCTGAGATAGGCCAATATTTTATTATACATAGCTGTTCTTCTGTCTGACTTGTGTTCTTGTGTTCAATCTACGGGCCATGGGTTTTTGAGATGTTTTGACGACATTTGGTATTCAATCATCGGGGTACTCGGGTTAATCTTCCATTACAGAATGAAATTTCGGCTTTAAAGAACAGTGCTTTGCTTTTCGGTATGGTCTCTATCGTTTGTCATGGTATGATTGCGTTTTTTAAAATCGTAATTCAAAGTACATAACTTCTGCGTCTTCCTGCCCACGCTCCTCGAAGTAATCTTTTTTATATCAAAGCTTGAACCTCTGGATTTTTATACCCAATGTCGAAGGATGAAAGTTTTACTCCTTTTGTGAAAATGTTTGCAACGCCCAGAAAGGAGCTGCAGAGATCCCTTGAAGTGTATTTACTCTTGATCAGGATCAAATTTTTAACTGATTTAAAGATTTCCGTCTGTCAATCTGCCTGTGTAATATCTGTTGTAAATGTTAGTCACTAAAGTGAACAATCGCTTTCTAACCTAGCAAATATATTGGAAGTTCTTTTACGCGGGGAACAAGTTGATCAAAACACTCACCTACAGTGAAGCATAAACTGTACCGAACTGCGGTTCTCTAAGTAAAAATTTGTGGTTTTTTGCTTATTACGGCATAAATTATGGGAGAGAGAAGGCTGGAATTTTCTACATTTGCTTTATCTAACAAAATGGAAAGAATGGGCCGTGAATTGGCGCTTTCTGCTTATTACTCATTGGATGAACAAGACGGAATATTAAAAATTATTCTGTACATTTCTCACACGATAATACATCTTATCTGCCCAAAAATGTTTTAATTCTAAACCAAATATGGTGGAAACCACAACGTGGAGGTTTTCTCTTAGGAGCATAATCAATTGGGTATCAAGCAAAAGGACTTGGAAAGTAGATATAAATGGGATGAAGACGAGAGGTATGAAAGCTTCGGACGCGATCAAATATAATTTTGCTTTTTTTTTATTTTTTTTTTTTTAATATAACCATTCACTAAGGGGATATTTGCTCCTGTACGTGTAACAGAATGACGGACAGAAAGAAGTGAGGAAAAAGAAAGAAATAGGGAGTGGCAGCAGCTTAGTAGGCGCGTGCGCACCCGTTTAATGTTGTACTTTACCGGGCGGTCAACCAGTGTAGCTACGACTAAGGCTGGCACTGAGATTTGAGCCCGCTACAGCAATTTCGAAGGCGGACATATCTCGTACTTAACTATCCAAGTTTACCAAACTTATATTTATGTTTTTCGTTTTTCCCTACGTTTACACAAAAATTAATAATAAATAATATAATACTTTTCATTTAAAATTTTTTCATTTGTTTTTTTATTTACTAATTTTCAATTAAAAACAAAAAAAAAAATTGCATTTTTTATTTTGTGCATTAATTTTAACAATATTTTACCTAATCAAAAGAGAACTCAGTGCAATTGAAAATTGAATAAAAAAAAAAAAAAAAGAAAACCAAATAAATGAATAAAATTTTTTATTAATTAATTCTATTGTCATTATATTATTACTATCGTTGTTATTATTGCAGCTATTGTTCTGTTTTATATGCATTATACGTATGTATGCTATATGGCTTTTATTATATTTGATCGGTTATATTTATTATATATGTGTTTGTGTCGATTTGGTTGTCACCACAATTGCTTTATATTAAAAATTTTACTCATGATTGAGGGCGTTAATGGAGGTCATCTCTCATAAAAATAAAATAAATTTCATATAACGTTTATTGTTTTCATAATAAACATATATTATTTATTTTAATGCGCTTGTATATGTGTATGCGCCTTATTAGCATTTAAAGTGTATGCAGCAATGTATGCATACATTTAATAGAATAGTTGATTATAATCCTAGCCTATGCGCTTGTTTTTCTAAAAGTGTATGTATGTGCATGCATATATATATGTATGCATTTATATGCAATCAAATAAACTTGAGATTATTTCGAATGCAACATTGTGCCTAAGTGTAACAAAAGTGGGGAGCAACGTTCTTTCAGTAGCCATGTATTAACTGCAGCTGTAATCAATAGTTGCTCGCTTTTTCAAACACATAATATATATATATATATATATATATATGTATATTGAATAGATTGAAAAGTATTGAGCCACCAAGCCGAGACTAATATACTAATTATATTATATTCATTTCTATTCACATTTAAACGGGGCCATCTAGTATTGCAAAGACTTGTAGAGCGCAATATTTTTTAGACTGTGTACGCTTACGGACATATATGCATATCAATTTGCTTGTGCATAAGTAGAAGTTCAAAAATGCTCGTAAATATGTTAGCAGCATATGTTACTATCTGCACATGCATGTGTGTGTGTGTGTTTGTGTGTATATATATATACATATGTACGTGTGTGCATATATGTACATATGTGATATAGTTTATTTTTATAAATGTCATAAGTAGCGCTATTATTTATTATTAGTATTACTAAACATGTGCACATAT